TATATCATATAACTACTTGAAATATAAATATATTAGTTGATAAATAATTTTATTTTTCTAATTAATATTAAAAATAATTTTATTATTGTTATAAAGATAAATATAAATAATATTTTTTATACATACAATATGGATGTTAAATCGAAGCTTATCAAAAGAAGATTAATTTGATATATTACATATGTAAAACTGATAAAAAATACAAAAGTTATTAACTTTTAAAATATATATACAATTCAATAGTTATAATAAGGAATGATATTAAAATACAATTAATACATGTAACATGACCATAAATAAACAACATATTTATGGTAATCCGAACCTAATTATTTTTGGTTTGGAATTAAATTAAAATTTACCCAAGCCTAATAACGAAGCATGTAATTTTGCCACATTGAATTCCGAAGCACCAGAAGCAGCCACGTAGGCTCAGCGCATTCTGTATTAATATATAGGGGGATATGATATAAGTTATAACAACTAATATAATATAACATATGTAAGTCATAAGTAACACATATCATTCTAAAATATATAGTAATATATTTTTTTGTAATTAAATTTAATTTAGTTTTTTCATTAATTTTAAAATTTAAGAATAAATTTTTAACAAGCACCTGTGTAATATACGGGTGTTGTACTAGTTATTATTATTACTAATTGAGTCCCTTCAATAAAATTTCTAGATCCGAAAATAGCCTAAAAAAATACAATCTGCCCGCATTACTAATAATTCTGTGTCCCATAATGGTTGATAATCAATGTACACATAAGTCATAATTTATTAGTTACTCTATCAAGAAAATAGATTATAAATGAGCGTGAAAATTAACTTACACTAACTAAAATTGTTATGATCGGTTTTGCTATAAAGTCAACCTTCTATATACATCAAGTAAACCTATAATATTCTCTATACAACAAGTAAATTTACAATATTCTCTGATAACTTAAATAACACTAATTCAAAAAAAAAATGGGGAAATTCAGGTAATATACAAGAACCGTAAGTTCAAAATTTGCAATGTCTGGTTCGAAAAACCGGCTCGTGAACCGAACTAGAAGAACTGTAATTAGTAATAACTAAGAAAAATACTACATGTATGATATGGGATATTATACCCACAAGGCTGAACCGGTCTGTTGACCGGTCGAGGAGGTCACATTATGAGGAAGCCAAAGAAGTCGAACAATTAACCAGTCGACCAAGCAGGACTGTCGACCAAACTATCCTTCGACCAGATACGCGATCGAGCAACCTATTTGACCTCAGTAGGTCGATTACTTCGAGGGCTTAACACCACGCCAATCAGCCTGGTCATAGGCGCGTGAAGGAAGCCTCTGACAGAATTCCAGGAGAATATTTACCCCATGTGCAGGGGGACAC